AGTTCAATTTTCGTTTAGCGTTCAATTTTATGGGACGAGCAACTGAATACTATTTTTCACAGCCAGTACCAAAAAAACATTTTTACGTATTTTTCCTTCAAACGATCGTTTAATCAATACACTTCGAATATTGCATCGTACACACTTTCCTAGTACAATCGAAACATATTTGGTTCATGTATGCCACCTAGCCAAAGTTTCGCGTGCATCAATGTGTTTCTTTTGAAACGTTTATTTCCTTTTCACACGGTCGCTTGTTTTTTAAGGGTTTATTTTCCCAAGCAGCTCTTTCTTTAAGCAAACAAAGAATGATTTCCTATTTACTCTGGCGGAGTAACATTGCTTAGCAAGTCGCTTAAGAGGTTTACCCTCATGGACAAAAACTAGCAATTTCTAACACAGCCTGCTTCACTCTGCTGCCAAACCCAAACAGCAGGCGAATTTGACGACAGCTTGACTCTCATGGCATTTCATTTCGTTGATTTCTGAGCTACGCTTCTTTCATCGTCGCATTCTCGTTTAAATTTCCCTGTAACACTTGAAGTTATTACAAAGGGGGCTTCCATGTCAGTTGTAAAGCATTGTTTTAGGCTCACAAAATAAACATTATGGATCATCAGAAACATCCTGAGTATGTAGGATTGCTTATACATCACTGTTCAAGTCAAATTACTCTGGGAGAACTGCAACAAGAAAGAGGCGCTAAGTATTACCAAGGAAACATTAGCAAGGCTTTTATCAGTCAGTTCTTGGTACCTCGCCGCAACAAAATTAAAGGGTAACATACTACGTCTGTATACTATACTGCTTCGAAAACTCTCCTTGTGGTAAAACTAATGGTGAGGGGACCTTCGCTTAGGTGAGTCAGCTTTGACTTGGTGCATAACTTACACGGTCGACAGTGAAGCTTAAGTCGTCAACTTTCAAACCAACAGTTTTAGTTATTGTATCAAATTTAAGAAAGCCTGTTCATGTTATTTGTTGGCAATATCCACAATTAGCAAATGTTAACATTAACAGATGCTGCTTGATTTAAGGGAATCCATGACAACTAAATGAGCCCTAACGCATGTAGTTGTCACCTATTGCGAAATTCTATTCGAATGGATTAGAGAAAAACTGTTGTGCGGTTCACTTAATACTAAATTTTGCAAATTTTAAAAATATGTGTAAGATTTAATATAGTACATCCACATGAGTATAATATCTTTTCTTCCCCTAAAAGTTATATATGTCTGCTGAACATAAATTTCTGATTATCCCTTTCACGCGTAATGTGGTGGCGTAAGATAAATTATTACTTCTTCATGTTGTCATAACTACTTTGAACTTCCTTTATAAAGACGGTTCAGTTATTTCTATGAGCAGAAGTTTCCAACTTTTGCCACCCTTCCTGAATATGCTTCATCCTTTGTAACTGTTCCTTTTGTTTACTATGAAGGTTTTTTTTGCTTTATTTCGAGCTTTTATCAATTTTATGATTTATAAGCTCTTATATATCGACGCCGTATGAGGTATTGTCAGGAGAGCATGGCGGCGTTTAATTTCTCATTCAAATATAGGTAGCACCTGAAAATCTAATTTGATCGACAGCTAAGAAAATTGAAAAACGAGCCCAAGAATATTTTAGATCCTGACAAGGTTAATGACGCTCTCAGGAAAAACAAATAAGCTGAAGTTATCTTTCACTGAGCTTGAAATTGAAAACATGAATACACTTTTAAAATTATTTAAAAAATTAAATAAATAAATAATAAGAATCAAACTGGAGGCCAGTTTCCATGATTGTAGATAATCAACTTTGCAATGAAATGTTTTATCTCAAATTGAGGGACACGCATTGATTCGGCTAGATTTAATTTTTCGACTAATTTGTTAATTAATTAATCAAAATAATAACAAAATTTTTTAATTGCGATTCGTTATCATCAGACCAATACAATACAATACAATACAATACCGATTTGTGCACTATTACGACATTGCAATAATTGTAATTGGACATTGCAATCAGACAATGCACGCGTCATTCTTACGTAATGGGCGCGCACTGTGCTTTTATGAAAACGTACAACCGATGGTTAGTTTATCTCTTAAATTGTGCCATAGATTATATTAATTGGTAACGGGACTTTGTGTCGTCCAGTTCTGTCTTCAATCTTTATACTCAGATTTACCAAACCCGACTCCTACGTCATGGTCGTCCGATTTTCTTTATTACTTGTATGATTACAGCAGACTGAACTGGACTCCGCTCAGTCTTGTTAACAATTCCAATTAATCAATTAAGATTAATATATTTACGTATTTTTGTTTGATTCCTGAACAAAATCAACTTTCACTAATTTTTGTCATATTTTTGTTGCTTAATGACCACAAGTGTTGACATTCCTACAGAGCCTTACGGCGCCTCTGTGTGGTGTCTCAACCACCATTTCCTCTAGTAGTTTCTAATTTGGTTTATTGGTGATTCAGGACTGATAATTTGAATCCATGAACGTTCAGACCTAGCGACCTACGTATAAAACTGCCCATACAAGAAAATTCCAAAACACTTTTGGTTGAGGTAACCATATACATAGAAAAGTAGGTCTACCAGCCAACCAGAAAAAATCTAAAATCTTTTAGATAATTCTATTTTAAATGTCCACGTCGTAGCAATGGAGCGCGGGGTGAAGATCTCGATCGCATGACATCAGCCCCAATTTTTTTTAAAAATCAAATTAACACAAACATTATGACAGAGAATTTAGTTCCAGTGGTTAACAGACGAGATTTATCTTATCGCTTAGTCCAATTAGAGAGCGTGTTAGTCTGTCAGACGGCAGGTGTCTAACGCCAAACCGCGGTGGAGTCAGTTGCGAAATGTTAGCAGGTCTCAGTCAAAGCTGGCAAACAGAGTACCGGTCTTTGCGTACTTTTCATAAATTATTTTAACTTCAGTTACTCACTTTCCTAACTAATTGTTAGGAGAACAATAAATTGTCTGACCTGTATAACTGATTAAATTGCTCTTAATCAATTTTGTTTTATCAAATTAAGCGCGAATTTCGTCTGAATCAGTTAGCAACTTTCGTAATTCGACTTTGTTTAAACGTGCAAAAGTCAATATTGAATTTGTTCAAAAAGCATGGCAACTTGAGATGAAGAAAAAAATATGTGTATATATACACACAGGATCAAACGAACTTTGACAAATTGTAACTGAAGTGGTAGACAACCAGTTGCATCGCAGCGAGCAATCTGACATTTAAACCTAATCACCTCATGAAATATGCATCAGCAACTAGCGTCTTCGCACGGTGAGTCACTCCACCTACGCGACAAGAAATCTTTGAAGAAAACATTATTCGTAAATAGTGGAAGGTGACAAACTCTCTGGACGACTATAACTGCGTCTCAGGTAAGAAACTATTTAACAGCACATTCTGGATCGCAATCAATCGGTATTTCATACTATAGGTGGAAAAACGAGGGTACTTTTTGTAAGTTAACACGGTTTTATGCTACTGATAAATCACAATTATTTGACTGAGTATTTTATTAACCATGATTGGAAATGTAAATGCACTTTGGTGCCGCTTCGACGATTGAGGTTACTGTTTTGGATCTCACACGACCTGTTTGCAGAGGTTCCTAGGGAGTTACCTAGTTCGATTTTATTTGTTTTCATGACAGCGGTTTTGAGAGTTCAAATTAGCGAAACACAGCGCCGAAGTAACTCGAATAAGACACTTCGACAAATTTTTACGTGAGGTGTCTAGACAGTTTACCTTTTTAATCAAACGATTCAATATATTTAGCCACGTTTTGATATTGAAGGATAAGGCCGATTATACACAACGTTTATCTCACTTTTGGAAGAGCACATGTATTTCGTACCAGTTGAAAAATTTCGTAAGTCGCACAGTTTGAATTTAAGCAGATTACGAAACTATCGACATTCTCGGTGCCATAGGAAGTCAGAATATATTTTTGATTCACTGATTCTGGTACTGCACAATTCATTGAGTTTTGAGCTCAACGAAACGAGTTTGCTCAAAAATTTTAACGTTTAGGTACAAGTTGTACTTTGAGGTGATCGAAGTTCTATTAGAAGCTCAAAGTATTTGTAATCAAATGTATTCTTTTGAAATTCGTCAAGAAGTCAATGAAGCATGGGAACTTTGCTAACAAAGAATATAAAAGAATGTAAGAATTTGTCTTTGAAGCACAACCCGTCCTCAGAGAAACCATTAGAGTCAGCTTACCGAGTGAAACTTCATTGTCCTTCCAGACTTGAACTCGAGTCGGTAAATGTTTCTCTTTAATAGGAGAAAGCGTGGGAAAAACTGCTTAATTGTTATAATTCACATTGTCCACAATCAAACTCACTCTTAGACTCTAGTCCTCCAATTGATTACAGCGTGCATCTAGTTTGATTTAGTATTTTCATTTTTTTCTGTATTTAAGTGTCTTTTGTTGTTGTTGTTTTGTTTCAAATACATATCAAAGCAAAGAAGCGATATTTTGTGACGTATATGAAGCGTTTATAGCTTTGAAAAGGAAGTTGTTTATTTACAAGTAGTTGTGATCTAATGGTAGACTTGTTATAAGGCAATGTTAAAAAAAGGAATTTTTTTTTTTAAAGAGAACTAAAAGTCGTACTCAATTGATTTTCATATTCCTGTCAACTCAGTTTCCAAAACCATTTTAAAGTCGGTCGGTCTTTGTACAAAATACAAGTATAATCTTAGGTGGAATAAGGTGCAAAATTCTACAGTTTCTTGGTACAACGATATCAAATTAAAATTGTTTTATTTACGCACTTTTGAAAAGATTGGATTAGTGGTGAAAGTATGCAGCCTTTTGAGGTCTAAACATGATTAATTTTTGCGGGTGGCCGTATTCCAGACAAAGCAAACCCCTTTTTTTGCTGGAAAGCAGCCAAATCTTCCTGTGCTCTCCCCCTCGGTGAACATTCTAGAATTTGCATTGTAACCGCGCCCTTAATTGAAACCAAGATGGCGACGGAATCATGAATCCACTTCAAAACAAAGACTGGCCCGTATTGTAAACAGAACCAAATACTGGCGATGCTTGGCGGGCTTTTGCAGATTAAGCATTGATCATCGCTGTCATCTGATACCTGTTTTCTGTCAAGAAATTTTAAACGCCACGTCTGGTAAAAACAAAGTTTATCGTGGAAAGAGCAGTTGAGGGAGGATTGGAGTTTGGCGGGATTAGCAAGCTTCTGTTGCATCGCTCGAAGCTTTAGTGTGCCAGACAGGTAATCTGTTACGCCTAACCAAGGCGTTTTTTCGTTTTATCAAGCTACGTTTAACTTTCTTCCCTTCATTTTGGAATCGCAATGATCGATATGAATTTTTATTTTCAGTTTTGTTCAGAATTTTGTCCCGAATACGAACAACGATCGCAAACATTTTTTTCGCGTAAGTTCTTTGTGCACAAACAAAGAGAATTTAGTCACCGAAGAAGAATAGAGTGCAGACAATTTTGACATCCTTAAAGCAGCAATCGTTTTTCACAGCGTTCAAATATATTCAATCACAGATTCTCTCAAACAGGTTTCTTCGATCCGAGTTACAGTAAACTAATTTTACATGCTTGCATGCATTCGATTAGTGATTTAAAATTTTAACTTGCGCTTGATTCTCCGACTTGACCTTGATTTGGCTGGTGTGATCGGTTGAAAAGTGGACGATTGCACTATGCATAACCAACTACACTACAGGAAAATTTTATAGAAATCGGAACAACAGTTTTACTCAGAGTGTAAACGTGTAAAATAAATCTTTTGATTCCGTTTCTTGCAATCGTGTTTTTGATATTGAGTGTTTGTGATTCTTATCACGTTCACAACATAGTACTTAGAACACTAGTGCGAATATCGTTTTATTATCTTGTAATTTCGAAGCTCCCGCTTCAAATCAGATTTTTTTGCACAGTTGCTCAGCATCAAACACTTTAATCCTGTAAACGGCTCTTGAAAATAAGCTGCCATAAATCCACTTCTTTTAAACCCAAAGTGAAAAATTGGCAGCCATGACCTGCACTCATGAAGCCGTTCTAATCCTGGTGATGTAAACATGTGATACAAACCAAGTTATCGGGTTTAGAAAACTATATTAATTCGAAAGAGAAAGAATAAAATTACCTTCTGCTATTCTTATTCAATGACATGTAAATGAGTGGCAGGGTATTCTGCAGTTGCTCCTTTAATTTTCCCGAGTCCGCGATATCAACACCCCATATTGTCGATGGAACGACAGTAGATTATATCTAAGTTCGTGTCCAATTTTGTCGTTGTTGTGGCTCTGTTTCAATTTTGCTTAGGTTTTTTTTTTGTAATAAGAGTCGTGTTATTGGCAACAGGAGTATCTATCACCTTAAACCGATGAAAATTAAATTCGTCCATGAGAATTCGTATCTTCTGTTAACAGGAGTCAACTCCATAATACGTGCTAGATTCAATTTAAAATTAGCCCCTAAACATTTCAGCACTTTCAACTGCTAAATATCTGTAACCCAGATATTTCATAATGTAAACTAAATTGTTGCATTTATTATGGTTGTCACATGTTTATTTTATAACATATAGGTACACGTAATTTCTCCATATTACAGTATATCAAATTCTCAGAGGTAGAACTTTAAGAAGTTTATGAAGGGCAATGAGGAGAAATAATATTGCAATCTTGGTTAAAAAACATCAACAAAAGATTCAATGAATGCAATGACAATACTCATTGTAAACGAATTATACCTTTTGATTTTGCAGTGTATTCCAATTCTGTGAAGTTTTAGATAAAGCGAGACTACAAATATTCATAACTTACCTCTGCTTATTTTGATTTTGAAAATTTGATAAGGCAGTGGTAATAAAGTAGCATTTTTTAAATTGCATTCTTGGTTAACAACTTATTTTTGCATTTTTGACAAGTGAAAGAAACAAAAGTTATTTCAGTTTTTGTCAAGTTACAAAAAACTGCTGTAGGAATACTAATCTTCTCAAATGTCTTTGGCCAGTGATTATCAACTTCTTCAAACATAAATGAACCTGCACATATGCACATAATATGTAATACTAATTATATCAGTTAATTTATATTTAAAAGTTTTATCCTAGGTGTTTTCCACATACATTCATTTACATATTTCACAATTACAATTTTCTAGTCAACTAAGTATGGAAGTTTTCTCTGATCAACATGTTGTTGTTAAGAGTCCCCCACATGCCTACCTACGTGGTGTTTCTAGAGAACCTTGTTAACTGATTAATACTTGTGAACATTGCCTTCTCTTGTCTTCAATATTTAAATTCTTATTCACTTGTAGCAGGAACTGATCCTCAACAGAAATCAGCCTAGTCACCATGCAGTGGGAAACTGCACGGAATGAATCCTTCACAAGAAGGGAAGTGCGACAAGTTCACACAATAGGTGAAACTTCGCATGACTCTTGGAGTGAGCAGCAGTACACAGACACAAACAGCAGATATGGGCAGTTTGTTAATGGTCCGATAACCAATGGAATTGACTCATCTCAAGAGACGTCTCACGGTAAAAGAACAATTTACATGGTGAATGGAGACACCAGTTCTGAAGGAAGGGATGACAGATTTCCATTTAAAAATCGTGAGTCGGATGTCAGTGAGACAGGGTCTTTACAGCGCACATACAGTAGTGGGAGTGGTACAGGTAGAAAATTTAGTGGCAGCTCAGCAGGATCTACCAATAGTGGAACAAAGATATCCAGTGTGACTATGCCGATAAGATCTGCCTCATTCTCTACTCGAAGAGTTTCCAACAGCTCAGAGAAGCCAGGTAATAAAGTGTATAATTTAGTATCAGCTAGAGTCAGTTGTTGATCAGTCCTTTGACTTAAGCTATTTCTTATTTAATTTTATTTTGTGATACTTTTTTACAGTTTACACTCATTTGTTTAAATTTATCACTGTGATCCTGGTGTATTTTACAGTTCAAGCCAGTACTGTGTCCAGTACAGAAGCTGCACCAACAAAGCCTGTAACTCTTCCCAGGACATCTTCCTTGGTGAAACAGCATATACCTTCAGATCCAAAGTCAAGCCTTCCTGAAGTGAATGGTAAGGTCATGTACAAATGTGAGCATAATGTAAATATGAGGGCATGCTTGGTGTTATTGTTCACTGTGACTGTTTATTATTAATAGAAAAATCATCAATTAATTACACATTTTCTTTCCAGTGAAATACAACATCAAAATGAAACTTGGTGAAGTGAAAGGTAATGGAGTGGATGGAAATGTTTATATCCAGCTGTTTGGATCAAAAGGAAACACTGCAAAAATACAGTTACGTCAAGCGGGGGATGAAAAGAATCGGTTTGAAACTGGTCAGGAATATAAGTTCATGGTTACCACCATGGATATTGGAAAGGTACTTGTAAGCAAAAAACAACAACAGTATATGTGTTAGATTCTATCTCTGGATTGATTGAAAGTAAATAGATTGTTTGGAAAGAGTACCATATAAACCCATACATTAATTATGTATTCCACTTCTTTGTCTTTCACGAGAAAACTTTAAAAACAAAGTCTACTAGTCTGAATGCATAATTACTGTATGGGGTTATGTGGTACTCTTGCCGATTGTTTTTATTCAGAAATAATTGAGTATTAAAAGTAAAAAAATCCTTTTGTTAATCCCAAAGTTATATCATGATGTGTTAAGGAACAGTCTACAAAGAGATGTTCATGAATATAAATGATGATAGCCCATTTATTTTGAAGCCATTGCTGCCTTTGTGCAGGTGGCCTTTGCATATTACTCCCAGGACTCATCCATATTTAGTTTCTTATTACACTATCAACACAATCAAGCAGAGAAGTGAAGGGAAGAAATGAAAATATCAACATAGAGGGTTCTCGATATAACCCAGATTGGTGGTCTAACCTTTGTTGCCGAGATCTCATTAGTGTTATTCTCCTAACTCCACCTCACATTTAGTTAAGTTTGGAGAATTTGGTTTTGAATCAACTTAATATCCCTTAATTGATATTTTTCTTTATTATCATCACTTTCCTACTTGATATTATTTAGATATTGTGAGGAAAAATTCTGTCTTGGTCACTCATGGGTGTTAATAGCTTAACACAGGGCTTGACACTAACCTTTCAGCTTACTAGCCAAGTGGATAGTGACAACTTAGATGTTAAAAACAATTTCAGTTTGCTTACTAGCCAAACTAGCTTGTGGAAATGGAAAACCATTAGCCAAAACTGAATTTCAACTAATCTTGGCTAGTTGGCTACCATTAGTGTTGATTCCTGTGACACTCTCTTTAAGTTCTCTTATTGTTGCCTGGTTATCCTGCATGTAGGCCTTTGCTTTTGGGTTTTGTTTTATGACTCCTCTCCAGGTTGCAGCTGCCTAGTAAACCATTGGCAGCCACTTATGATAAAAGTTATTGAAAATAGGGACATGGTCTGTCAATAGTTGGAGTGCATGTGGCCTTCAGTGAAGAATCCACTTTGCCAAATTTAGGAAAAAAGATATGTGTAAAACAAAAGAAGAAATGAAAAAAAAGGTGTGCCGTGAGTACCTAGTGAATGTACTGTACTTCATCCTCACAGGTTGAGAGAATAAAACTCAGCCATGATCACATGGAATATGGGACTGGACTTCATGTGAAGGAAGTTGAAGTCGATGTTCCCTCATATGGCAGCCACTACACCTTCCCATGTAATTGTTGGTTGGCACAAGATAAGCTCTCAGAGATGACAATCAAAGACTTGAATTCAACTCCTACACCAAGTAAGTCCTGGCATATAGTGAATTTGATTTTTTAAATAAATTTATTGTTTTGAATTGGTTAATGTTAATAATTAAGTCAATAAGGATCCTTTACTCTAATTCTGTGTCAGCTTCCTTGTTTGATACCTTATCACACCCTAAAAAATTTTAATAACCTAGCATGCATGAGCTATAAATAATTGTACATTTAGTTGTTAGCAGTTTTCTTTGATTATGCCTTCCATGGATTTTTTTCAAACCAAAGTCTGTTTCCTGTAATTGTCTTTATGTAATTATAGATTCATCTTACTAACTGAGTTTGAGGTCTGTGCAATGTCATGGATCAAGTCTTTTTTGCTCAAGTTTGTTCCCCAACTGCAAACTTGCAGGCCATAAATCTGAGTAAGAAAATAAAAGGTTCCATTACTTACAGTAGCAACTGAAAAACAAGCTCAATGGGATATTTATTATTCTAACATCTTTGGTTCGTAGAGAGGGAGAAGATTTTAACTCAAACCAACTTTGGATGTAGCAGGCCAGACTGTGAATTATACAGCCTGCCAAATTGACTGATCGTGAACACTAATTACTGAGAGATATGATGAAATGAAATGTTCTTGTTCAGCAGTAGGTAGCAGCAATTATGTTGATTGGACACTAAATTCTGTGTGTTGCATTTCAGACAAAGGTTATACAGTTTCAGTTCATTTGGGTAAAGTTCTGGATCCTTACACCAAGTTGTACCTGCAACTGTGTGGAGAAAAGGAGGAGAGCACTAAAATTGTGCTTCGGCCATCAGGAACTGCAACAGATAAATTCCAAGAGGGGAAGACCTATAAGTTCTCAGTTGAGATGCCATATATTGGAAAGGTACCATACATCTAAAACAGTCACTTTACTGTTATTATTACTCTTTACGATAATAACATTTATTTTATCATGTAAGATATGCATGAGTGTCAACCTGATTACAGGCTCCCAGTTGGCTTTTTAGCTCAGTTGTTAGAGTACTGCACTGGTATCACAGAGGTCATGGGTTGAAATCCCACAAAGGCCTGAATTTTTTTTCAGGTCTTATTCTCACTACTGCTTAAGTAGTGATCAATACTGTGAAGATTGCCCTCAATACTCATTATGGTAATACACAAGCATACGAACACTTGTAAATTTCATGGAGTCAGGTGTGAAATATGTTTTAACCATTTACACCCCAACATCAATTTTCCGAATCCGATGGCAAGATCATGTCAGCACCAAAGAGCTACTGGAAAGGGTAGGCATGAAGCCACTGAGTGCGGAAGTGATGTCTCATAGATGGAAAATGATTGGTCATATTCTTAGGAAAGATCGTAATAATGATTGCAATGTTGCTATGAGATGACTCGACCAATAATACTTCTCCTGCTCGCATAGCAGCTGATATCGAAGTCCAACGAAGATCTGATTATTTCCACAAAGTTATGGGTACTATTTCGGAAAATAAATGCTCTTTCTTGGGCTGCTGAAGGCGAAGAACACATGAAACACTTTGAGGTTTCCTTCACAACTTTTTTCGGCGTTTCACTTGCTATACCATGCGGCTGATATAAAATCTCACATAAACTTCGCGCGAAAATTACATCACTCGCAGTACCCTGACTTAATTGGTTGTTTGAAACACAATGGGAAAGGAATGTGGTTCGAATGTGAGCAGCCGTTTCTTTCGGGGGAGCGTCGCGTGACATCCCGAAAGATGGCTGCGAAGGAGACTAACTTCTTAGGTTCACAATCATTTCCTTTACTCTCATTGGTCCATAATGAATTATTCACCAGTATTGTAAGGAGAAATTGCATGCTGGTCATTCTCAGGGTGGTGGAGGTGGTTCGGGTTCAAGCCCCGGCCGGGAACATTGTGTTGTGTTCTTGGGCAAGACACTTTACCCTCACAGTGCCTCTCTTCACCCAGGTGTTTAACTGGGTACTGGCAAATTTAATGCTGGGGGGGGGGGGAGGTCACCCTGCGATGGATTACTATTCCATCCGAGAGGGGAGTAGAAATACTCGTAGTCGCTTCATGCTGCGGAAACTGGATTTAAGTGCTGGCCCGACGGGACACCTGGCTTATACAGCAGGCTTCACCCACAGTACCTACCATTGTCAGGGTCTAAAGGGTTAAATAAGATACAGTGTTAGCCAAAGTATAATGATTTTGTCTTTTTCGTAACAGGTGGAGAGAATCCGTGTTGGTCATGATACCTATGGGAGTGGAAAAGGTATTTTTGTAGATGATATTGAAGTTGCACCAGATGATGAAGAAGCTTTGTATTTTCCTTGCTCCTGTTGGTTAGCAGAAGACATTGGAGATGGAAAATTAGAACGAGAAATCTACCCAGGAACAAGGACCCCTCTTACATCAGGTAGACGCTTGTAATGCTCAGTGTACACTGTGCTACAACTGTACACTGAAGTGTATTTTTTTTCCCTTTCTGTTTGTTTTCAAACCAGTTTTATTTTTGTTTTACTTTGTGACAGTGTATGGTAATGCCACTGCAGATCCGAGATAAAAAAAAAAAACAAAACAAATTAAAACTGGTTTAAAATTGTTTTTTTGTTGGTGTTGTTGTTTTCAGAGTCAGACATTACCCACACAGTGTCTGTGCATCTTGGAGAAGTACTGAACCCTGAAGCAACATTGTACATCTATTTGATTGGTCGGAGAGGAGAAACTAGCAAAGTATTTTTGAGGCCAGAAGAACCATTAGAAAGAGAGAAGACCTATAAGTTCACGCTTGCTCTGAATGTTGATATTGGAGGGGTACGTACATGTCGGATTAATATGAGTAATGTCAATTTTAGATTGAGGTTTAAATTTATGA